AATCATTAGCTTGCTCATGGCAAAATGGTAATTAAATCTCTCTTAATTAATATATAATACTTCTTTCCCTAAAAAAATGGGATTGGGGGGGGGGAGATTAAGATGAGCAAAGTGTTACTAAAAAAATTAGGCATGATCCTTCAGGAAATATACTGTATTATTTCTCTACATGACATGACCTTGTAAAATGATATTTTAGTTTTAAATTTTAACATAAAAAAAAATGTATCACTCTAATCCAGAAAGTGCCCAAATGTGAACTCAAAGTACACCATCAAGGCTGTTGGCTGTTACAACATTTAAAAAGTAGCCCACAACAAGGCAAAGTGCTAGTGAAAAACTACTAAGACTACTAAAACTACTAAGGCAAAGATATGTTATTCTGGTCAGGAAATACCTTTATGACGACAACCAGTTCAGTGTGGATAACAAAGGATTCTAAGGATGTCACTCAGGAAAGCTTTATCCCATGAATGAGGTTCGTGGCAGTACTGTGAGAGGTTACTACATTTAAAAACTTCATAGATACCAACAAATGTTTGAGGAAGACAGGAGAAGCTTAGGCATTAAAATGCAGAGACTACCCAGCTGGAGGTCCAGAATACCTTTTAAGTTCTCTTCAACATCATAAAAGAAGAGGACCAACAGAGAACAGGATCAGCATGATGCAAACACATTAGCCAATTTTATCCACTGACCTGCCTTGCAAGAGTTCTTTGGACACACCTTTTCCCCCATAATACAATCATCATATTTTTGTTCCACTTGACATAAAAAAATATTTCCCCTCCCCCTTTAAACAGTTCTTAAACATCAAAATGGAGGAAATCTACTAGAAGTGTTTGTTTTGAAACATGCAAATTATGTGAAGTTTCTTCACCACTAAGGCAAGCAAGAGGATATAAAGATACTGAAAATGGTAGTTCACACACACACAAAAAAAATGATCCTGTAATCTACATGTTGACAAGCTTCTGGGCTCCATCACTCCACCAAGCAGTAGATACTTGTCTTAAGAATCTTCTACTTGACTGCTTTCATCAGATTAAGCATCTGGGATTTAATTTAACAGTTTCAGCTTTATTAAGCTGTCACAAGAGCAGCCCTGCTTTGATAACAGTAGCTCCTCCAATTATGGCTTGGTTTAGGGTTGACAAGTATAATGATTCATTCGTGGCACATGAGAAGCAATAAAAGGTTGTTTTGCATTACAGCTTTAAAAATGTGGGCACTTTTTTCATTTAATTTGTCACTTAGCTTTTGCTAAGAGGACATTTAAATTGCAGTAAAAGGCAAATGGGCCTTTTAGTTTAAATGTAATCCCCATATTTAAATGATCTGTAATAGTGCCGTGTTCGAGTGGGAACACTATTGTTTCACACTGGGCCCTGATGGTGACATGTGACATTTGTATTCAGGTCCTGTATTATCCATGTGGCTAAAGGGCTTCCAATTTCATTTCACAGCCAGAAGCCTGCAGAAAACACCAATTAACTTGCAGATCCCATTTGCCGACAAAACTCAGCCTCTTCCCAATGTCTAGCATCTGACAGTGCTCAACACCTAATTCCAAAGGAGAGCCTCCCTGGGCTCGGGCACAAAGTCAAATTTTCCCCTTTTTTAAGGAAATCTTTTCACTTTTGTAGAGAACAACTTTCACTTAATTTTTCATGGATTAATATTAACAAATTACTTCTGCAGGAAGACTGCATGGTCCATTTTTCCCCTCTAACAAAGTGGGTTAACTGACCTTTTCTTTAAATCAGAGAGCTCTGCTCAACAGGCATCAGCAGATATTTACTGTGAATATCCATATCTCCCCATTCTACCAACGGAATTTAATTAAAAAGGTAAACTAAGGGGTTTCAGATAACTAATCACTGCAATATAATGAAGTCTTCAATCATGGTCACTGAAGCATCAGCTAAGTTGTAATGAAAGGCTCAAGTGCCCGAGTGAAGGAGGAAACCTGAGGTTATTTAAGTATGCTTAAAAACCTATGCCAAGATGGAACTGACAAAGTGGCCATATGCCTAGCAGTTGGCAGACAGCATATAGGGTAAGCAAGCAAGCCTTTATTAAGCAGAGTCTATATTTACATATTTTTCATGTCCTAAAATTCTCATAGATAAAATATTTTTTGTAAAGACATACCTATATGCCACTCCCAGATTACTCTGAATAGGTAACAAAAAGTTAAGTATGCAAAGGCCTGTCTCACTCTTGATATTTTAGTTCTCTGACATCTTAGAAGATGAAAAGACAGGAAGCCAACATTATTTGAGAACATAACAATACATTACCCCTTTAAACCCAATGTCTGAGCCATCTCCACTCTCTACTGGCACAGATCACATGTTGACAGGGCCATCCTGCCCTTCCTTCTGCAGCTTGCTACTGTAACTCTGGTCTCCCTTAAAATATCCTTCAACTTTTGGATATTCACTTTTTTTATTTTTAAGAGATAGACATTTCGCCTGGTAAAAGGGATGTGTTTAATTTGAGTGCAACTCAAGGTGAAATCCTAGCAAAAACATGGCAGAAGCTTGTAACTTTCACACAAGGCAGGAGTCAAGCTGTAGAGATCCATGCAATTAACAGCAATTTGGAGGGAACTTGTTAAGCACCAGTGGAAGGAAACCTACTGGTGTGGGAATGAAATGGACAGTTTAACAACATAAACACAAGGTGAAAGAACCAAGTTAAGAACTTCTCTTAGCCTAAAGTACAACCTGAAGTGACTGAAATGTATTTGCAATTGAAACCATGGTACCTGCTGATAGGGGGATTGGAACTAGATGATCTTTAAGGTCCCTTCCAACCCAAACCATTCTGTGATTCTATAATCAATATATTTTGATACTGTTAGAGGCAGCAGAGCAGTTCAGGACTAAAAGAACAAGGTCTGCCTCAGATTGCAGATACAGCAGCTGAGGTAGTGGTGAGGCTGGAGGTTGCACTGTGGCTTTTTGGGAGCAGCACCTATACATCTGATTAAAACAGAAGCAGACTAATCAATTCAATTAATCTAAAATATTGCTTATTCAATGCTGCAGGCAGCAGGACTCCACCTCTTCTACCTTTCAACAGGTGCTGTCAAGAAAGTAACGTTAATATGAAAATGATGAAACCAGAAGAGGAGCCACTAAGAAAAACTAACAAAACCTTTTGCATTTATTGACAGCATGTGGTAAGATCACTACAGGTAACAGAGAGAGAACACATTGCTGCCTGTCCCACCATCTACCAGCTCAATCCACACAAGCAATGAAGCATGAGACCCTCCACTTTTCAGTATAGTGAGATACAATTTCGCTGCACACGTGTCCAGTTAAGCATGTGTGTACCCTGCTTAGCAAAAACTTACTCCCCAACAAGCCAAGGCATCATAACAATGACACACTAAAAGGGTTGCTACATTTGAAGACCAGTAGTGATACCTGTACTCTCTCTGACAGAGCTTTGCCTGCTCTGATATTAAGGCTTTCTATAATCTCAACTAGACAGCTATCGTTTTATTAGCCTAATGCTTCATTTAGAGTGAATATAATTTATGCTAAACAGGTTATATCTTAGCCCCATCAGTCAACATGCAATCAGCCATGGTCATCTTTAACAGTGGAAAAATTAAGTTTTGGGTTCGATGCTTCCTTTTTAAACAAAACACATCTTTCTTGATTGGATTTAATTAAACTTGATTTTGGACCTCTAAAATATATCAAGAGCATTCTTGTCTTTGGCTCTCTTCCCTGCAGTGTTTACATAATATCCTATAGGGGCATAGAACCTGCAGGGTTCTTTGTTGTTTGTTATTTAATATTTATTTCTATGTTCCATGCCACATAAGTCAGGCATAGCAACACTGACCAGAACATATCTCAAGGCTGACTCCTTTAAGCCTAGACTTGAAGTGTCTTTCCAGATTGAGTGAGAGCACAAAGTAACTACTCTTAACCTCTGTGAACCACACGGTGGTTCCATTTAGGCTGTGTGTCTTCAGTTTGCTTTGAGAAAGCCTTCAATACAGCAACCAAAACCTTTCTACAGCTAAGATACACATGTTAATCTCTTCACTCATGCCCTCAGTGAATTATCTTTTAAAAAAAACAATTAGATTTATCACTTTGTTCTAAATAATGCAAGGTGTCTTACATTGCTTTTATCTTCTACAAAATTACACACCAACAGGTTAGTAGTTTGCTCCAGAACCTTATATCTAGAAAAGCAATGCTTGTGGTTACTTAATATTCTTTTCACTCACTTACCCACTTTTAAAATATTGGTGATATCTACATTCAAGTTGTTTTAAATTTCCCCTCTCTACCACAAATTCCTATAGATTTTGAGAACTTATAAAGCAGTAGTTCATAACCATCTTAGTGAGTTTCTGGAACACTTCAGAGCAAGTGTCCTCAGACCTTACCAGGTCAAATATTCCTTTCCCATATCAGTCTGTGTTCCTCTCTCCCTTGTACAATTCAATCGTTTATCTAGTCACAACTGACCTTTCCTGTACAGTGGTGTTGTTTTAGCCTTCTGTTATTTGATCTCCTTTCCTGCTTAGTAACAGACTTTTATTTTGTTGCTATCTTCTCATACTCTTAATGAATCTTCTCTTTCTGCCTTATATTTCTCTCTAGTTGTGAATCAATTTCTTCCTTAGCCTTTTCAGTTTAGCACTAGTGACTTACATACTTACCATCAGTAGTGTAGTTATATTTCCACTTTTTGTTTTATTCTTTTTGGATCCTTAGGTACTTATAACCTGTTGCAATTGTAATTGTATCAATCATACCATGCTTTCTCTCCAACTGCAACTGGAGTCTCATGCTGTAGATCAGAAATATAATTTCACCCAACCTTAACTGAACAAGCAAAACTGCAGAAAACTCTAGTCTGCTTTACCTAGTACCACAATAAAGTCTCTCTCCACCCCAAATATGTAATTGTTTCTTTATTATACATATGAACACAAATGATTTTGAAGTCTGTGTATTTACCCAGTTCATCCCAGAGCTGCCTATACTTGTCAGTCATTGTGGTTCCTTGTTGCCTCCAAAGTGACAGACGAGGGTCAGCCATGAACTGTTCTGTTATCAACGTCAACATGCGAGCTCCATTTGAATCTCTCATCTTTAGCATCTCTCGCACCTATAAAACAAGTCTATTAATACAAACTTGAAAAACCAAAGAAATCACAGTACAAACAATGTGCTGCAGTGTTAAATAATCCACCTTTGTTAAATAAGAAGTGTCATTTACATACACAATGTGAAAATTTTAAGTAGAAAAAATAATCTGCATTTCCCATTTTAACAATTTTTGGTTTCAGTATCCCACTGCAATTCTTCAAAGTCACTTCTTCCACAAGTATTCCACAAGGTGTATCATGCAAACTGCTGTAAGACCAATTTCTATATGTTTTTTTCAATATTTTGGGCGTGGGAAGGAAGAGAACAGCAAAGCTGAAGACTGCTGAAGTGTTACTTCATATCCTTAAACTGATCTCAAGACACACCAGATGGTGGTCCACTGCTGTACAACTCATTATTAAGTTGCCATTGCATTCTCGAGGCTTTGTCTTCTTTTAGAACAACAGGACTTTGAGTAAGATGTAAACAAGTACACTCAATTGGGGAATGGAGAAGAGAAAAAAAGGAAGGTTTAGAGTACTCAACACACCTTTGCAAAAAGCAAATTGAGCTGCTTCCCTGATCCATGGTATCCACCCTGGGAGAGGAAGATTTTAACCTGTTCTTGGACCTGTTCCTCATCCAAATGCCAGCAGTTTTCATCATCTATGCTAGCACCCGCTGTTGGGTCAGGAGCACCTGCAAACAGCAAGAAAAGAAATCATCATGCTCTATATAAAGAGGAGAGGATCACGGGTCCAGGGAAAAGGACTACTGCAGAGATTTTGGGGTTTGTGTTTGGTTCTGTTTTGGATGTCTTGGCTTTAATCTAAACATTCTTTAAAAAGTACTTAAAACTTCTCCTTAGTAGTCTTAAGCACTTAGAAGTTACAGTCTATTAAAAGGTGTTTAAATAAACAGTATTTTATAATGTTAAAATCAAAGTGAGTTTTTCTCCTCCCATCTCAGCAGCTATACTAGAATGCTTTTATGAGGGAAATTAGATAGAAATTGCGTAGTATTTCTGCAACTGTGATGTTAAAACCACTCTCCCCAAACCACCTGTATAATTCCTGTGCCTTAGCAACCTTGCTCAGGTTCAAGTGACTGTTACTGAGCACTGCTACTGAAATGAGGAAGATCATCACCTCTGTGCCTCTGAGCTGTGATGGCTCTGCAAAGCTAAACAACGAGTAAAAAATCCCCAAACAAGTCCAGAGTCTTAAAGCACTAAAGGCATTTCCATCAAAAAGTTACAGCTGTTTAAGATTTTGGTGCTTTCAGAGGAGCATTTGTACATAGGCAATGTCATTAGCACAGAGTCATCTCACAGCAACTTTACCTGAATTTGCCTAGTGTGAACTGCTAGATTTACATTAAACAGTGCTTTGGCCACAGGCTGCTTTAACTCTTATTTTGCAGTTGAGAACAACCATTTTCCACTGGTGGCCCCTTCCAACAGCTGACAAAATTAACTGAAACAAGTTCTTGCACTACATGGCAATCTTTATTTCTCTGAAGAAGCCTGCACCTCTGCTGGATATTTCTTAAAAGGTATTCCAACTGAGGAGGCTGCAAAGCACTTGTCTAGGCTGTCAGGGAAACAACTCAAAGTAGCATATCACCATACCAGATGTAAGGCATTTTAAGCATGCCCAAGACTCAAGTTAACTTGACATTTTTATTTTGGGCTTGTCACAACTGTGTAATCTCTATCTCCATTAGGTTTTGGGAAGATGTTAGAAATTTAATCACATTACATAGTCTATCACTTTTAAATTCGTGTCCATGTTACCTCAGCAGCCAAAACCAAAAGGGCTACTATCAGGGAAGGAAAATTATTACATAGAGTTGTGAAAACTTGCTTATTCAAAGAAGTCTTGAGAACTTGAAAAGCAAAGATAGCTACAACCCTTCATATGTATAGAAGTTAAACATTGGTTCTACTGATTCAAGCCTTCACTTCACAATTGTAGCTCTGTCACGCAGGTGAAGCTTTTAAGCAGTAGCAGGGACTGCAGAAACCTTTATTCAATGATAACACAACTGGATGATTTAAAGAGGTAGAGGGATGTCTTGTTTACTAGTTGCCTAGAGAGTTTAAAAAAAACCAACTTACAGCTCAGCAACTTCCTAAACTGGCTCCAACTTCAGACACAGTCTACAATTGGGAACACCATACTGATATACATATATATACACATACATATATATACACACACACACACACATATAGATTTAGATTAATAAGAAACTGTGTCTTTGAAGATGTAAATGAACTCTCCACAGGAGTCATAACAGTGTCTCAGAAGACAAGAATCAAGCCCAAGACAGTACAAAAAACAAGGAATGAAAACCTTCCTCTTCTGTGAGTGTTTCCATTTTTAGTATGTCAGTTGTAAGGAGCTTTCAATTCAGTCAGCTACATGAAACACATACTGCTAAGTCTTCAGTTGCAAAGAACAAGATAAAAAGGGAAATCAAGCCACATGAGAACAAGCAGTACAGCTGTTCCACAGACCCAGGTTTGCAGTATCACCTTGCAAATAGTTTAAATATTTCATTGCTCTAAAACACAGAAAAAAGAGCTGTGAAAAGGAACTATATAAAAGCACCAATATACAAAATGCACTTATATTTATCCCTCACTTCAATGGAGATTTATCTTTAAATAATCTTGGTATGGCTACTTTTAAATTGAATTAAAAATAGCCCAAGATTCCTCCACTAAGCTTACCTTTTTAGGGGAAAAAAAAATTCCTTCCGTAACTGTTTATATTTTATCAAAATGTCATCAGTCAGTTTGTGCTAGAAGGTTAAAATTCAACACAGTTACTGCAGACTCTTTAACAACAGGGTTCCTTTACAGGAAACAAGGGCACCCGCTGCCCGGGGCACTAACCCCATCAAGGCCTCTTCTCACAGCATGATTCCACATATACCTTCCCCAGGGGCTCAGCATCCCACATCAGTGTTATTTGCATGCCAGTAGCCTAGAAGACTGGAAAAGCTGAAGACATCAAGCCAAGGGTCTTCAACTTCACTCAGGCAACAAACAGGACTTCTACACTGCCACTCTTCTGAAGACATGGGACTGGTTGAGTAGACAAGAAAGCATCTGAACAAGCAACGGTAAAGAGCTGCCTCAGGAGCTGCAAGATGAAGTGCTAGCAACAGCCAGCAGGAAGGCTCAGGCTTACCACCAGGCAGAGCTGAAGGTTCAACCCAAAGGTGGTGGCTTCACCTGGGGTACAGCACAGCCCTGAACACGCACCATGAGGCTTCAGCAGATGGACAGTTTGGCTGCAGAGAGGAACATGGGCAGCCCTGAGCTTAACCTCTGCAGTGCAGTTTGGTACCAAGACCAAATGCCATTCTCCACCTGTAAACTGGGGATAAGTATTACTTACATGCTGTGTCATCAAGATAAACTAGTTCACATTTGAACTATGAAAGTGAAAAGCACTGTATAATTATACTAAATATTAAAACTTGTAATTAAAGTGTGACAGTTTATAGGCACTAATACATTAATCTCCCTCCCTCCAACCTCTGGGTTTTTTAACTTCTGTCATGACCAGTCTTTGAAATAGGTTTTACATCATGTAATTGCAGTTAAATACAATAAATAAAGTATTTATACTCAGTATATAGATACAGCCATACATAGTTACTCACACGTTTTTACTAAAATTACTAAATTGCAATCTTAGCAATCAAAGCAGTACAGTGTACACTGAACACCCAAATAAAATATGAAAACTGAGTAACAGCCTTTTATATTTATGGGCATAGCAGGATACACATTAAATATAATCAATTTCCAAGTTCTAAGAAGCAAAAGCATTTAAAATAAGCACTTTGATCATTTACATAGCAATTTTAAAAGCAATTGCTTTCAGAATGAGCAACCATATTCAAGAACTGGTGTTGTACATGGAGAACACAACCTCAGAAATAAGCAGAAGTAAAGCAAGGAGTACTGACTGAAGTAGGCTAAGAATTGCCTATATTGCAAACTACACAGGTACAGATCAACAGTGAAAACTGGCTAAAACAACAGAAAGTAGTCTTTAAGGCAAACTGCATCTCCTTGATCCTTATTTCTGAAGGATCACAATAGACATCTTCAAATGAAACCATGACAAGTTACTCACAGCCATACTGAGGCTTTTTTCAACTTCATTTTATAAAAATCTTAAGTGTACAAATGAATGGTAGATCAGTTAAATTTTATTAAATGTCATCCCACAGCAGCAGTAAGGAGAAGAAATGGAAAAATTATTACAAATAGAAAGAATAACTTACTGACTACTATGTAAAAATCCAATGGTTCCAGCTAGAAACCTACACTGCTGTATGCCAATTCACAACAGAACAGTAATTGATTTTATAAACTTAGTGTGCTCGGAATTATTCTAAACAATAATTACATAAAACCAAAGATCATAAAATCAGTTATTCAGAAATACTATTATGCCTTTGATTCTCAAAATGATTCAAAGTTTAGACATAAGTCACTTCATCTTGTACTTAATTGCAGAGCTCTTGGGTGGAATATAACACCTGTTCAGCATCACACAGCACCAAAGGAAAACAGCAACTGCTGTGAAGCAGCCAGAGCTAACAACAGAAAATGTGAAAACAGGACAGGCTATGCTAAGTTACTGAGTAAAGTTAATAAACCTCCAACAAGTTTTTAATTTCCATAGAATTATTTCCCTTCCATCTGCAAATACAGCAAAATGCATAAAATTATCTGCTGACAATATCTAACCTCTCCTGCTAAAATCTAGGTGTCTCAAACATTATATAGCACTAAGCTTCAAAGCTTACTTGTGTGTGGCAGATAAAAGAATTTCCTTATCAGCACTGACTAGGATGCATTATTTTTGTTTATTTTTACCTTCCATATACTAAAATGAAGTCTACTTTGTTTTATATATTACAAGTTTTATTTTAATGTTTAATATATGTGAAATGACATTTTTCAAAAATATGAATTTAATAATTTTTTCATGTTATTTTGCCATTATCAATCTTTCATTTTATTTTACATTGTACTACTTAATTTGAGTAAAAACCTCTCAATTAATTTTGCCAGTTTAAGAAAAAAGATTCCATCATTTTTTTTAGTAATTATTGTCTTTAACATTAAACTCTCGGTACTAGTAGACTGGCAATATATTGTATTCTGTTGTTCAGCCCTACCCTAACCTAAAATTTCCCACTAAAACTCCCACCATTTCAGTTAAATGCACTAAGTTCATCCTAACACATACTCACTTGTACCTCCAGATTGCCCTTTGGACCTTATAAGATATAGGAACAGCACTAGATAGTCTGAAATTTTCTTGCAGAGCTAATTTTTGGATAGATGTTTCCTTCTTGATTGCCTCCACTGGCATTCCTAACATAAATTACAGATTAATGGTTGCAGAGGATATACCTAGATCTGCCTGGGCAGATACAGAAACAACTACTCAGGTACCTGTTGGTAAAAATGAAATTGTTTTGCTAGGCTGTGCTTATGCCAATAAAAGGCAGACCCTTTTTCATTATGCACATAACAACAAAGCAGGGCTAATATGAGATTAATTTGCAAATGGACCTTCCTCCCCCTCTGCTAAACCCCTATCTTGCAGTTACTTTCCTATTTCCACTCAAATTCTCAGGTCAACATAGTTTGACCTTCCAACCAATTTGTTTAAGTAAAAGTTCCAAAACTAAGAAAAGACAGATCCAAGATGACAAACCAGTGTCATCCTGACAATCTGTCATCCTGATTGTTCTCTTCTTAGCCTTACATACTTCTCAGCTTCCTCTGCTACAAGGGTACAAAAATTAACAAGGAGAAAAAAGCCCCAGCTAAGCAGGATCCAAATCTACATCCAGCTTCCTGAGTCAGCATCCCCAAACTGAAACCAAATGTGAAGCCAGAAGTTACGCAATGCAGATAGCAGGCTATCATCAGGGTATCAATATGAATATGTACAGTTGTCTTCAGTACAGCTGTAGGGATTAGACCCCAAAGATTTCCAGTTTTAAAATAATCAGAAAAACGTACAGCTGCAGCAGTGTCACATGAGAAAATCGGAACACAACAAATCTCAAACTAAAGAGCTGCTTTTGTGCTCTAAAATCATGCACAATCCTCTCATAATGTAATCATTAACAAGTGAAAATTAGCATGGCAAATACAGAGGAGGATTCCAAATAAATCGCTCGGCTCTCCTGAAAAAGTTAGCAAACAGACAACACATTCCTGTGCCTGTAACAGCATCCCCTTATTTCTTCCTGCACTGAGGCTCAGTCATGAAGCAAGAGAGGATACTGCATCATCTGTATCCACGAAGGAACTCAAAGGGATTTGACATTTCGAAACCCATGCCATCGGCGTAAGTCACTTCACTAGTTCCCCCAGTAACCTCCTTCACAAGGAAGGTGGCCAAAGCCACATACAACTATCCAAAGCAAGACAGTTTTGTATTACAAACTGAACATCTGCAGCACAGGATACACCACAGAGTGAACGATGATCTTATGTTTTCCAGCCTATGCTGGTGAACAGAGACAGATTTCTTTTGGTTAACTTTATTAATTTAAGGAATTTGACTAAATATCAAAATACCAGGATTATAGGATGAATCCCAGAAGAACACTTACTTGCTACATAATCAGAATAACTTACTTTTTCCTTAAAAGAAACTATAATTTAACATTGCAAACATATAAAAAAAAAAAAAGATCAGACCATGGTTTTATGGGGAGTCTGAGAGGAAGCGAAGGACACTATAGATCCTCTTCTGTAACCCTAACATTCTGTGGTAATAGCAGTTTATATTCTTATGCTGACTGGTATTAAGAAATACCAACAGTCAATAAAGACATACTGCGATCTTATTTACCAGGAAAACAGCAACATGTGTAAGAAATATTTCAGTTTTGTAGATATTTTTAAACTACCCTACTCAAATTAATTCTGAAATTTTGTAACTGATCATCAACTTAAGTTTTTTGTTTCCTATTCTTTTTGCTATTTGGGCTGTGATATAAACATCAAATATCTCTCTAAAAATACTTTAAATACTAGTAAGTAATGAGATATTTTGACAATAAGAAAATAGCTGACAAAGACCAACTTGCCTATGATTAGTATAATTACAGACTTAATGTTGATCAAGTTTAAGCACTCTTTGCAACAGCTTGTCACTTCTCTTACATTAGCCACAGTATAGCTAATACAGCCATATACAGCCATTATCTGTCCTTCCTTTCCCACGCCTACTTTCCCCCTTTTCTAAATACACTTGACGGAATCTCCTGTGCCACTCTCATACTCACTCTACTTCTTCCTTCCCCTTAATTCCTTATTTTCAGGCTATTGCCAACTCATGCGATACAAGCCTTCAGCTTGCAACACCTGAGCATCTCCTTTAGCTTCCCTTTCTTTCCACTATCACTGGGCAGCACTGCCAGTCACCTTCTCATTATGTTCTGTAACAACTAGAGCAACCACCATGTCTCTGGCCACATTTGCATAGCCACCAAAGCTAAAAAAAGAGCACTGCTCCCAAAATTCACCTTCTTGCAGCACCACCTGCCTAGCCTTGCCAGCGCCACGGGAGCTTAAGGCGAGGGGCCAGGTTGCAGACGAATCCTGTTATTGGAAAGGCTCCCTTCTTTTTTTCTGCCTGGACAGTATTTAACAAATGTGTGTTTTTCTTTGTCTAATATTAAGAAGCTTCGTTGTGTTTGTATTTCAAATTCTTTGGAACAGTGGTCATCACTCTTAAGAATCTAACACATAAGAACTGTTTGTGTCAATGAACAAACAAACAAGATATTTTTAGATATCTGATAATGTATTCTTCCCTTCTAAGCTGCCCTCATGCTTACAGCTCTGGTCACCTTAGATGACATTTCTATCAGGTGACCATACAGGAACACAGGACTCAAACTAGTTGGGTCACTTCAAACCCACAATTACCCACTTTCACTTCAGCAGGGTCTAAAGAAAGGCACCTTAGAAACCTCAAGTCACACCCAGCACCCTCTAACAAACCTAAGATGTTCAGTACAAGAAATTGAGCCACTAAAATCATGCACAGTAGAAAGAGCAGGAAAGATTGAGACCTTTGCTGATGAAGCACTATCAGGAAAAAGGCACTGAAACACAGGTATTTGTCCTGACTTCATATAGAAACAAAGGAGAAAAAAACTATATTTAATCAAGGAAAAAAACCTGTAATGCCTACTTGTTTTTATGCTTTGCCACTGAAAAAAAATTACTTAAAGTGTCAGAAGATTAGTTGAAAAAGAACAAAACAAAAAAAGATGCCGTTGGTAAGTTGCTAAGATAGTTCCTGTAAGCAATGCAGCTATACAAAGAACACCACTACTCAGTTTTTCATAGCTGGAAAACACAAGAGAGAAGTATCAGCTCACAAATTAACAGCACTGGAGACATAAAGCTCACTGCTTATAGATTTTTCTCTTTTCCAAAAAGTACTGCTGTCTAAACATGTTAAAGCAAAGGTTCAGTAACAGAATCCTCTTTAGTAAACATCATAGAATCACAGAATGATTCAGGTTAGAAGGGACCCTGTCAGGTCAGTCCTGAATGCCACAAAGAAGCTCAAAATCAAAGAGGGAATGAAGCAAAAGGAAGAACAAGTATCGAACTCACCATGGACTTGATTGATTTCTGAATTCTGAGAAAGAATTTCATCTGCCAATTTTTGAGCAGTCGGCAAAACTTCTGTGTGGTGTACTGTGATCAAATACTGTACAAATTTTTGTAGTTGTTCTCTGTTCATTTGAAAGAGTTTCTCTGAAATGGGAAGATGCAGTTTGACCTGATCTGGCTTGCGGATCCGGTATAAAGAAAGTGCCACAACATGGGCACAGTAAAATATGTCCTTGTTTCCACAGCTACAGGTCACTGAGGTAATCTTGCAACGATCAAAGCTGATAGCTACATTGCAAACAGTTTCTGGCTCCGATTGCATTGCAGGCTCTGTCACTGTGCCACTCAAGTGGAAACCTGTATGAGGAAAAAAAGAGAACTTAATAATATAAGTAAAATACTGTATCTCATCATCAAGAACCTTTTGTTAATAAAGTAAAAGTCACCATCTATTTTTGAGAAATTATAACTCTTAAGAACTTGCTTTAATTACAAATATGATTAACACTTTCTTTCATACATACCCTTTTAAACTCCAATAAAATCAAAAGGGAGGTAAAAAGCTAGTTTAAAAGTCCCCTGCCATTCCATCACAACATTCATAAAAGTTTGATAGTAAGAAACCATTTATTTGGGAGATGATAGCTCCAGAAGCAGAGCTGCATCCAATTAAGACAAATGTGAAGCTTCCAGTAACCAAGCACACTGGCAGCAATTTTCCAAACGCCCCACCAGGGAGCCTGCAGCACCTACCGGCAAACTTAACCCTTCTCTCAGTAAGTGAGAGGGAAGTAGTGCACTCTAGTGGCACCAGCCCAGGTCCTAGTCTCAACTCTGCCACCGACACAAGTCACTTAACCTCTTTGCTTTCATCTCTCCCACCACTGAGCGCAGTTAAAGCTCACCTTCACTCGAGCGACCCAGTAGGACAGCTATGTTCATGTAGCTCTTCAGAGTGGGAAACTGCTGCAGTTACCAATACATAAGGTATCAGACTTAGAACACTGAATGAGACACACGCGCACTGTTTCAGACATCTGCATTATGGTCCTATTTTCTTGTACTGTAAGAAGATACAGTATACCATACGGAAGATGTTCACTTCAGGAAAGATGTCACTAGTCCATGCAGCACCCTGCTGA